TCTTTAAAACCTTATTCAAAATGTAAAAAGTAGAAGACATAAAGTGAAATTCTCCAAATTTGAAAAACTATCCAAAAATGATTACTTATGAAAAATATATATATACTATATTATAAACATTTGACAAAAAACTCTTAAAAATCATTTTTTTATTCATAAAGTACTGTATATTGATGCATATTACTTAAAATTCAAGATTACAAGTAAATTATGTATTAAGTACAACTTATTAAAGCTCAATGTTTGAATTCGTGTAACTAATTACGGATAACATCTCATTTTAAAATATAAAAATTCTAAAATATAATCAAGATAATTATCAATTTTCTAACCAAACGTTTAGTTATTATCTTTAATAAAAATTATATTATTAAACCAAAAATAAATTACTTTGTTATTATACCTAAATTAAATTATAATAAAAAATTGTATTAAAGAAGTTACACCAAAAAGACGAAAACTACTAAATAGTTAACTTATATTTCATTCAAATTTATGATATCTTCAAATTTGTATTTCATTCAAAAACAAAAACATTATCGAATTCTCAAAACCACATAAAATTATATTACATCGATAGAGACAAATAATAAAAATTAAACATTAAAATGAAGATTTATCTCGCTGTATTACGCGAGTACCCTTCTAGTTTTTTCTAATACTCCTACCAATAAGAATGTTTGAAATTAAATTTACAAGACAAAGAAATAATATATTATGAAATATATTGGATATTTTAATAATAAAATTAATATTATAATCTCGAGAAACTGTTGGAGATGAACATTAATTTCAATTTAAAGATTTTGATTTTAAGTGGTTGTTTGATAGTTGTTGAATTGTTTGATGCATAATGATTAAGTGGTCAGAAATTCAGAATGATTAAAAGACTCTCATGATATAGTGCAAAATGAAATATAATTGTCCGATAATTGTTTTAGAATTAGAACGCTAAATGATTAAGAGAGACTCATGATACAAAATCATTCAAAGACTTTTAAAACCATTAATAGACAAAATAATTTTTTACCAAACAAGATTCATCTCTTAACGATGCGGAGGTTGAATCTTAATAGAACTATTAAGAAGTAAACAAACAACCTTTAAATATATCATTTTAAAAAACCCATTGAAGATATTTTAATTTGACTTTACACTCACAATTATTAAAAAATAAAAATAAAAACAAGGTCCGAACACCTTCAGTTATCCTAAATTATATCTTAAAACCCATAAATATATGATATAATTAAACATGTGTGGTAAAATGCTAGTCTGAAAAGCATAAGCAAAAAAACTAAAAATAGAAAAAAAAAATAGAAATGATGTGCAGGTGTAGTTCTGGTAATTGACATAGACATAAACAATTAAAAATAATAAAGGTCAAACAAAATCGTAAAAAGAAAACGCCACAATTGACGGAGTCAAACGGAAAAAAGAGGTAAGGGCCAAGGACGTAACGACAAAAGAACAAGGCTACCGTTACGTCAATTTTATCTGTCAAAAGGGGTTTTGCGAATACCCATGTCCATGTTACAGAAGTCCCCCCCATCAAAATGAATTATTGCAATATTTATACAAATTATTTCATTTAAAAAACCATCAAATAATTAAAATACCCTTTATTGCAAAGTCCCTAATACTTCTTGTGATTTTTGTTGTTGTTTATATCACATGTCATACACCTTTTTAAGTGTATATCACATGGCTATGTGTTCTTTTTTTTTTCCAAATAATTGTCGCGTTAAACAGTATGTTGTGTTTCGAATTGGTGTAATAGAAAAGTCTGTGAAACAATATATATGTAGGACGATCTTAAATATCCTGAAGTTTAAATAAATCGTTGGACCAATGCAAGTTTCATGTTTCGGTTTTGCAAGAAATGGAGATAGGTACGTGTGTTTTGTGATCAATATACACGTGAACAGACGCACGTATACAGGTGAAGGTTCAAATGGAAACATCTTTATTTTACAAAAATGTGAAAACACATTTATCACGTATGATAATATACGTGAGAGGACTTGGTGGTGTGCAAACAATGTGTCATCTGACTTAGGTCGCGCCAAATGTCATTTCATCTCTGATTTAATATCACGTTTTGTGATGAATTATAGTATCACATCTATAATACATTTTATCGCGTGTGATAAAAACACGTGAGTGGACCTAGTTGTGTACGAGCGACTTGACCTGCAACCTAGGTCGTACTAGAGGTCGTTCGCATCTTTAATTAAGTATCATATGTGATTCACTATAGTAAACAAGTGTTTTCATAAAATGAATATGTTTTTTGTTTGAACCCTTATTTCTCTCTCTCTTCCTATGTGTATATATATATATATATATATATATGTAGTTGTTTGTATATACACGTATAGTTTTGACTTGAGAGTCATGTTGTCATGAAAAATGATAGCAGATAGGAAGGTTGTATTCATAGTTGTGACACATAACACATTAGATTTGTCCCGAGTTTGCTATTATGTGTAGGAGAATGACATGATAAAATGGATTACAAGACGACATTGAGAGGTCGGCTGCTATATAATTCCTTTTTATGAAACGTTGATTTTATTGCACGTACCTAAGTGGTGCTTTGCATTCAAAGAAAAACACTATCTCTCCAAGTTGTTTGACTTAGAAAACTATATGTGTATATCTAAAATGGGATGACAAGATACGTATACCTCAATACACGGAGTAAAAATAGTCAGTATTCTATTTTAAGGAAAGAGTTAAAAGCACTCGTATGAATTTATGAAACACGATATTGACGAATATGCTTTTCAACACCAGTGTTTTTATCAAGCCAATTATGCTCTTCAACAACAGTGTTTTAAGAGACTACTATGCTATTAAACAACAGTGTTTTTAGCAGAGTGACTATGATTTTCAATAATAGGGTTTTGGCAAGTGACTATGCCCTTCACGAAGTGAGATAGAGTTTAGCTTGTATTTTTTATATACGTTATGATTTAAAAATGTTAGGATGCGATTATACTTTTTAGGACGATGTGTTTTCACGATCATTAAATCTGAACTGTTTGTATACCATTAAGAATTTGTCCTTGACATACTTTTGGAGTTGATACTTATTCGGAAGTGGGAACTCCTAAAAATGATACATATCACATCACCACATCGTTCATTATCTTGGTTGAATTGATTAATACAAAAATTGTCTACTTTCAAAACCGATTACAACATCGTAATCGCATAGGTGGATATAAATGCACTATAAATTTCAAAAAAACTTGTTTTTTTTTACATTATACATTTTATTTTTTATATATCTTGTTTTCACCAAAAAAGTTTGATGCCTGTAATTTATAAATTTTGTATTTAAGATAAAAATATGATTTTTTTTATATACGTACATGTCTTATTTTCTTAACTTTTACTAAGGAGCCGTTTACCAAATGTTTACTTGGGTAAGTGAACATCAAGTTACATTACCTTACGGATGAATATGGTAAAGACCAAAAATCAAACTCGATAAGAGCGAGACAATGATCAAGAGTCTTACCCGGTAAGTGAAGACGCCGACTCTTACCATGGTAAGAGCTTACAGAGTAAATTGTTGCATACGATACCGTTTTGGTGGACTAAAATCTTAACCGGTAAGTAAATGATAGTGTTAAATTTCACCAGTAATCGTTTACCGGGTAAATGTTTGGTAAACAACCCTTAAATTTTATATTATGTTAAATAAATGTCACCCTTCTATCACCAAAAGTGACGGGAGGTTAGGGTCTGTTTGGTTAGTTTCCATTAAATTTTGTATGAATATTGATTAATAATATGAAGGTTTTAGTTTAGAATGTTTTTTTTAGATGGAAAAAGTGTCTTTATAATTGTGTAAGACATGTTTGGAAAAAAACTTGTTGTCTGCATAAAACTCCCCTAGATTCTTATAAAATAAATCGTTTTCTATCTATACTATATTATAAAACATTTGACAAAAACTCTTAAAAACCACTTTTTATGCATAAAATATTGTTTATTTATGCATGTTACTTAAAACTCAAGATTACAAGTAGATTATGCGTAAATACAACTTATTAAAGCTGCATATCTAAATTCGTGTAACTAACTGCAGATAAAAATCAAATACAGGATAAACATCTCATTTTAAATATAAAAAATCTAAAATATAATTAGTACAATCACTGAGTTCTAATAGAATACTTAATTATTATATTTATAAAATGTTATATTATCAAACCAAAAATAAGTTATTTCATCATTAAACTTAAATTAAATTATAATAAAAAATTTAAAGAAATTACATAAAAAATGAGATTTTTTTTCAAAATTTTATGATATCTTCAAATTTATATTTTATTCAAAAATAGATCATTATTGCTTTCTTAATAACACATAAAATCGTCTTATAACATCGACAGAGACAAAAAATAAAATATAGCATTAAAATCGAGATGTATCTCGCTGCATTGCGCGAGTACCCTTCTAGTATTATTAAGTTACTTCCATTTAATCATATATATAGTTGACCGAATAAACTATGAGTTTTTCACTAAACTCGTTAAGCTGCTTACAAATAATAACCGCACAGTTTAAATACATCATTTCATATTTTAAATTCAGAAAAATTAAAATTTTAATTAAATTTATGGGGTGTTTGAGATTGCTTATTTGAAACAATTTATGCTTTTATACAAAAATGTTTATTTCCTTATTATAAGTTAGAATAATTCAACTTCTTCAAAAACTTCTTATTACCGGTATAAGTTGTTTATCAAAATACTCAAAAGTGCTTATTACCGGTGTCACACCAAAATAATTCAATAAATTATTTTTATAAGCAATCCCAAACATCCCCTTAAAATATTAGAATTCCGATCCTTCGTTATCAATTGAATTTGAGAAACTTCAGTTTTACTACGAACTACGAAGAGCGAATAATATTGCTTCTACATAAGGCCCGTCTAAAATCTTGAACCGGCCCAAGCCCGTGAAATAAAATCGAGCCCTAAGCTGACTAGCCAAGAGAACCAAACCACAGCAGAAACACAGGCGAGCTAGTAATCTCGACAATGGCGTCTGGTGAAAATGATGGCGTCGTTTTGGAAAGAAAGCGAACAATCGTATCGGCTCTCTGTAAATCCCGATCTCTAGAACCTGTAAGTTTCAAACTAGACTTCTATGCGCATTTCAGTTCAGTCAAATCATATCTGATATCTGATTTCGATTTTTGCTGCTTGAGTTTAATCAATCGATTTTGATAGTTATTGTTCTATGTATTTACTTGATTGCTGACATAGTTTGTTCTACTTATGAACTTATGTATTATGGAAGAAATAAGTTCTGGTGCCATTGGTTAGTAATTCTTATCTTTCACCAAATGAACACATAGACTGGGTGTGCAATCAAATGTTAACCATCTGCATTGCATTACCTAATTTGTTCTATGTTGATCAGTTGCATCGGCATATTTAGTAGTCAATACCACGATTTTGTTCGATGAGCTGTCTCTTTATGATATGCAGTTCAGTAATTCTATTACTATTTTTTTAGTTTCGTTGTAAATACCGATCTATGAACACTGTAAGTTGAAACCTAGCTTTATACATGCATCTCAGCTTAATCAAGTCATGTCTGATTTTTATTTTTGCAGCATGAGCTTGATTATCAAATTTGATGGTTATCATCTTAATTATTTGCTTGATTACTTGTATAGCGTGCCGATTCAGGAATTTATGTATTATCGAACTAATAAGGATCGGTGCTTTTGTTTAGTAATTGTTATCTTCACCAAACTCACTCAAATGTCATTCAACTATGGCATCTGTAGATTGCATCACCTAGTTTTTTTTCTAGTAGTCATCAAAATGATTTTATTTGTTGAGCTATCTCTTTATGACACACAGTCCAGCAATTCTACGTTTTTCTAAACCAAACCAAACCAAACCAAACCAAACCAAAAGAACCGTTTAGGTCCCACCCTGACACCCTGAGTAGGGTATGGGGAGGGTGAAATGTAGGAAAACCTTTCCTCTACCCCTTACCCCAAGAGATAGAGAGGCTGTTTTTGTGAAGACCCCAGCTTGTGGAAGAACTTTTGTCCAAAACAGGTTTTGCAAAATATTCGGACTCTTAAGCTACCACGAAAATATGCCAAAAAATAATAGATTAAGTTTGGAAGACAGGAAGAGCAAATAAAAGAGCAAGTACGCATATTAAACAACCTTACAAAAGATTAAACAAGTATGGTACAGCTAATCGACCTAACATGTAAAATAGCCGACAGACCACATCTTGGACACGAAAGCTACTCCATGCTAATTGCTACCCCACCAAAGAGAACTTGCTACCTAACCTAGGACTCTGATACCTAGCTGTAAGGTCTCTGCCCCCACTCCCTTCCCCCTGCTAGCCCTCTATCACTCCAACCCACTCCCTCAACCACAATCCCAAAGTCTTTGCAGAAATTCTGCTACACTAGACCCTAGTTCTGCGTCTCTATAAACTTCTATCTGAGCTCATGCCTTTAGAAATGTCTAAAGTTGCCATGTCCATTCTCAAATGCTCATCCCACTCTCAATTCTATGTCCGTCCATTACTACTTTTTAACTTCTTTAGAACCGTTTCTATGTCATGACATGAAATCAAGTCTTTGTCTTCTGCACTTCATTCTCTTCTTTACTTTCTACAATTAATAAATGATGCCAAATACGTTGAAGGTCTATGGTTTTCTTTGTTGTTGCAAATTTGATTACTTGATTTCAGTCTGCCTTTTTAATTTTCTGATTAAACACTATGCTCAATAGAACACTTGGGGCAATATGAAGAAATGACCTCTTTTTTTTATTTCTCTGGCATATATGCAGTCTTAATCTTTTTGTATAGAAATAGCTTATGAACTTTTCTTGGTTGACTTGTGATATGTCAATTATAATATGTGTCCTGAACCTTTATCAACATCTTTTACACAGGCAAAATTCTTGGACGATGTGAGGAATGACCTTAAAAGCTTGAGTGTTAGCATCATGAAGACTGCTCTTGAGAACAACGAGGAGGTGAGTTGATATCGGTTTTGAGGATGTTGTATTGCATCCATGAGCTAAAAGTAAAATCTAAACAGGAATCATGTTACTCTGCCTCTATTTTTTTTATCTGAATGGTGAAATAAAAGAGCATTTATGTTGATCTTAGTTCTCACCTTTTGGCAGTTCAACAAGTGGGTGATCTTTGCTGAGAATTTCCCATCCGATTCCAAGGGATGTTCAGATGGTCTGAACCAATTAAACAAATATTTGACTGATAACTCTGTTCTTGTGGGTGGCGGATCCACACCTTCTGAAGCTGATGTAATTGTTTTTTCCACTGTTCATCCGTACGTGGTAAGTAATATTTATCTTCTGTGACAACTCAGCTTTCACCATGGTCATTGCATATCCATAGGTATACTGCATTTAGGGCATGAACTGCTCTCTCTCTGTTGAGTAAGAATCCTTGCATTGAATGATCGTAGGAACAACTAGCTATTGGGGATTTATAAAATTGACGGCATAATATTCAACATGCATATTTTAATGATTTGCTGTTTTATGTGTGGGTGTTATGTACTTATATAATTTTTGATTTGCTCATGCCGGCTTATACTTTCCATTTTCTTTCTAGTAACAAACTTTGTAAAGTTATTCTTTTCTCAACCTTGATTTATGTCATACATTCATACCTGATATTTGCTGTTTGTTGATGATAGATTGGTCTTCCAGTCTCAGACAAGAATAAATTGCCACATCTGATGAGATGGATGGATTACATCCAGGTAATGGGAATTCTTTTCCTTGAGATATCATGTACTTTTTCGAATTTGTTCTTAGTACAAAATTTCTAGCACTATGAAACTAGGACACCAGTTTATGAAGTTCTAAATATTGTTTTCATGTTTGCAATAACTATGTCTTATGTATAAGTTATATGTTATTCAACAGCTGTAGGAGCTTCTTTGGCTGGTTCAATTGTTTTTTTTAGTTATTTACGTGGTTGGGGCAATCTCACTTATCTGAGGCTTGTTTGCCACCATTCTTCAACTTTTCTGCTCCATCTCTATTCTCTCGCATGTGGCCATGGACGACATGGAAGAAAACATATGATGTCTTATATCTTCTGTTAGAGGAAAACTGCAATCAGACTTTTACAAAGAAATCACATGTATATGTAAAAGGATATCTCAACCATCATCACCCTTGCACTTAAAACAAAACAAGGAGCGAAAAAAGGAAAATAAAGTAAATCTCTGAAATAACTAACACATCATCCGTGCAATTCATAACCTCTAACAATGCCATATACTATGTTGTACTAAATAATATATTGGTAAAGAGATGTATTATTTTTCACCCATCAATTGTTGGGTTTGAGATAAAGCATAAACTGTTTGTTGTCTGAGCATGATAATCTCATCTTCTTCCTGATTGATGCTTCCAAATATGCATGCAAGGCAATATACCATGAACTACTTTTTTAGATATGTTTCAAACATATTGAATATGGATATATGCATGTGGACTAGGGTTGCCTTGGATGGATGCATATTGCATCTTATCTTTGAACAATTGGTTAAGATTGGAATAATTGATTCTTTGTACCTTCAATAATGTAACGAACTCATGGATGCCCTCGATGCCATGTGGATGTATGTGGAACCTAATTCCCCATAAATGCTTCCTGCTTTTTAGAAGTTTATCCCTTTTTCCCTGAAAAACATTAATTTTATAAAATTAATTTGTTTGGCAATTAATGATTCATGTTAAACGTAGATTGATTGAATTGAATTTACTTGTTTACATTAACGTTCATCCTTGATATTCCTCGATCTGAAGCTTCATAATGTATTGTCGTTTCGGTACATTTCCTATTGTCGAATCCCAAGCTTCAACTACTTGTTGGGAACTTCTCTTCTCACATAAATGTGTAACAAGTAATAACAAACACTTGAAATGCAAACTCATTACTATGAAGGACTTGTTTGTCAATCATCAAAACTTGGTCTAAAATGTACATGTACATATAACCAAAAGTAGCATTTGCACCAACATTGACTTATTGATGAAACATTTGCATTATTTTGATCAATGTTTTAAAGCTTTAAAGCAATAGCACTTTGCACATATTATTTGCTTAATATAATTTTTCATCTTGCTTATCGGATATTACATCCTCTAAAGGCTGTTAAGTAAAAATATCAAGTATTCAAGAGTGAAGACAAAGTTTTGGGATTTGAATTCTTAATCTTCTTAAGTAATGCAGAAGTGATGTTATAATGCTGTTAATTGAAATAATCAACACTGATAAGTGATACCTACCACTTATTGGTATCACTTATCCAGGTTAATGATTAAAATTAATCAAACTACCATCAGTTTTATGTGCTAAGCTGTTGGGGTCCCCTCGTAATTATGACATTTTTGGATCAACATCAAGGTGGATTGTGAAAATGTAATGCTTCATGATCCTGTTAGTTCGTTTGCTTCTTCCTTGTCGCAATGGGAGGCACTGCCCTGCTTTTTACCTTTGCAGTTTGCACTAACTTATTCTGATTCATCTTGCAGAATAAGCATGACTTTGGAGATCTATTTAAGTGGATTGTGCTAGAGAAGGCCCCTTTCGATCCTCCAGTGAGTAGAATCTATATAAATTTCACTAAGTAATAAACCGTGTTATGTGTTGGTTCTACTTGTGCTGAATTTTTCAAAGCAATAGTTGATTTAGACCTTAGATTTCTTTAGGGCGATTCTCAATTTGAGCTTCTGCCCATCTTATGTGCATTTGCTATCCTGCCTTTGTGCAGTTTGGTACAGATGTTTATTTGGTGATCAAAGTGTTAGTGAAGGTTCCTCTTTGCACAAAGGTTCTTTCGGTCATTTTGAAAAGGTGGTAGAACTTACGTTAACATCTTTATTTATTTAGCAGTTGCTTGTGTAGCATGTAAATTTGAGCTTGGTATGGCATGTTACTGCCCATTTTGACCTTGGTCACACTCAAATATTATCATCCTTTGGGATCTTACTCTTCATAACTTAGGAAGGGGGTTTCTTGAGCTATTGATTATAGCATATCTGCTAGATCTGGGAGAAACAAAATATTTTGGCAGTCAGGTCGGATAATATAACATATGCATTTCTAGTGATATCTGGCACAGGTTTATGTTTTTTTTTGCCTGCATAGAAGTACTGGCACCTTATGGAAGTGCATGAATATGTCTTAGAGGTTTGCATGTATTTGTGAATATGTGCAATGTGCTTTGCTATATTACCTTTGTCAAACCTCCAAGCCGTTGAAGGGTAGTCTGTGCCATCTGGGCTACAAGCCCACTTGTAAAAAAGCACTTTTAATACATTCTATGCCTTTGAAAAAAATTCTTCTATATTTTCTTTTCAGTTGGCAAAACCGGCAGCAAAGGTGGAAGCTGAGCCAAATACGAAAAAGGCTGTCCCAAATGCGAAAGCAGCAACTTCAGGAGCTGGCTCTGAGAAAAAATTTGACATGGTAAGACATTTTTACTTTTGGTTTTGAAACATGTTTATTTTCTTTATACATGATAGTGCGGTTATCCTGACAGCTGTTCTCACCCACAATTACCATATGGGCCATGGTCAATCTAGATTACTGTCAGGTTCTGATATAAAATTCAGTGCTATACTTGGTTTAAAAATGCGCGCATTATGCGCTCTGATGCGTGATGCGCTCTGATGCGTTGGACATAACGCATCAACGAGTCTGATGCGATGCGATTCCATGATGCGAACGCATCACCTACGCATCACACGATGCGTGCATCACTTAGGCATCAGCGCATCATGTATGTTGCGTTTTGGGCTCCCTTTTTAGTGTTTACTTGGGCTTTTTAGTTGGGCTTTTTTTAGTTGGGCTTCTTAGTTATGTAAAATAGAACCTGAGTGACTGTTAGCGATAGAACGTGAGTGACTGACTGTTAGCGAGTAGCGAGTAGCGAAGCAACCTAATCGATAGAACTTAGAAGCCGACAGCAGTAGTCGATACTCGATAGTCAATACCAGCGGTCCAGCAGCAGCAGTAGTCTATTTGGGGAGTATTAGTTGGTCACTTGGTTGGTCATTTAGTTTAGGGATTAGGACTATTAGACATTTACTTGTGTAATTGTGTTTTTCATGGTAGTAGTTTGTGTGTTATGTACTTCTGTTATTCTGATTCACGAACTTTTTAAGATTCTAATGCCACTTTTTTAACTACTTTATGTTATAAATGAAGTATTTTGATAGGTAAGTATTTTTAAGGTAGAAATTGATATGTAGAATTAATTTATAAATATTTTTTGAATACCGGGCGCATCACGTGCATGATGCGAGCGCATCAGCATCACGCATCACGCATCGGCTTCCAGGACCCTTAACGCATCGGACCGCATCGCGTTTTTTAAAACCAAGGTGCTATATTGTTGTTGGGCTGTATAATCCTTGTATGTTTATTTGTTATTGTTTACTGAATACATTTTAAATTGAAAGGATATTATTTTTCTTTTGCATCAGAGCTAGTGCATATCTATTTATATGCACTTCTGTTCTTTGTCTTTCTATATTTATTGGTTTTAAGAAGTAATTTCTTCAAAGAATATTGAAGAAAAGAAGAAAGTAAAGAAATCAGTAAATAAACATTTTAAAGAAGTGTTGTAGGTGCATAAATAAACTAGATTTATTAGACTTTAGATTTCAGTGTTTCTTTTGTGATATCTTCATTCTAGATAGGAGCTATATTTCAACTCGTAGAAATCGAATGTTATTTTGAAACTTAAAATCTGTTTTAATTTTTAAACCCTTCGGAAAATACTTCGATATCCATATTAAAACTTTGCTACAAATATTACAAATTGAAAAATCTTGGTCGAAATTTAGTAACAAAATTTATTCACATAAAATGACAAGATGTAAAGGGTGTATTCTGTTTTAATATAATGAAATATGCTTGCCTTAAATATGTCGATATGAGAGCTCATCCCTACAGATGCATTACTTCTTATATAGACTTATTTTGCCAAATCAGTGATTTGTAGTTCTAAAGGAATCTTTCTTCCCGTTAACCCAGACTTCTGCGTTTATTAATAAGTTTTTGGGTTCTTTGCATGATCACTGGAAGAAATATGTAGTCTTCCTTTTGTTGGTTATAGCCATCGAACATTATCTCAACTCTGTGTTCTGTTGCTCAGAATATAGATTGCATGACTTCTTATCAGATGTATGGGAGAAGACTTTTCATAATGCTTAATTGCCACTGAGAAAGAATACAAACTATTTATAAAGGACTAAACCACTAGACTAGCTAACAACTTTCGGAAGAACAATCACAAACTAACAACTTGCTTAACTAGGAAACTAGCTTAACTTCCTCAGATATGTTAACTAACATAAAGCTCTAACATACTCCACGTGTAATACCTCTTAATCTTGCATGCTATTTGTGCTCTCTAACTCAATTTAGATTATGCTATGCTACTAATTTCGGGTACAATATTGTTATTGTAGAAAGTTTACTTTGTGTTTTTCTCATGAAGCCAAAGAAACAAGCAACAGGAAATACAGAAGCTGCCACAGATAAGAAGAAATTGCCTGAAAAGGTTCCAGATGACAAAGATAAAGACTTAAGTGTCAGTTTATTAAAAATACAGATTGGACTCATTCGAAAAGCATCCAAACATCCATCAGCCGACAGGTAAATGGGTTGCTTATTCCATCTTCTCCATTTGTATTAGCTATTAAAATCTTCTTGATCAAAATCTGTTCTCTATATGATTGTCATTGACTTTGCTCGGAATCTTCATGTTCATGGTTCAGTTTATTAGTTGAGGAAATAGATGTTGGGGAGGGTAAATGCCGGCAGGTGGTCAGTGGTCTGGCTAAGTATTGCAGTCCGGATGAGTTGACGGTATGAATAGTTTTTTCATTTTCTGTATCTTTTTCGTCCATTATTATTTATTTTATTAACTTCTTTCGTCCCTGAGTAAGTATCCACATTTCTTTTTAAGTTCATCCCGAAAAAAGTGTCCACTTTTATAAATAGATATTTATAATTTACTAAATTTCCAATTCTACCCTTAGTTGTGATGCACTAATGTTTAAGAGTTGATGAGATTGAAAAAATTCATTAATGGAATAATTATTCATTTATAAAACTGTGTGCTCTTTTATAAAGGGTAAAATTGTCATTCAGTTGATTAAAAGCGTAATTGTTATACATTTCTAAAATTTGTATGATTTTTTTATTGTGGACATTTATTTTGGGACGGAGGGAGTACTTCTTAGAGCCAATTTTCTATTTTTTAATCAACAGATACTACATTCTTAATGTTGTTTCATGCTATTTGACCTTGCAGAACCGTCTTGTGGCGTTAATTACAAATGTCAAACCTGGAAAGTTAAGAGATGTGGTTTCAGAAGGATTGGTAGCAACTCTTCCCCTACACCCTTGCATACACCACCAATCTTTCTCAGTTTCAATTCTATGTATTCCAAAATCTTCTATATGTTAAAAGTTTTGGTTTCAGACTTGTATTCGTTATGAATATTTCTAATATTTCTACCACTATAAAGTCAGATTTCATAAAAAATTTAAGTAGGCATTTAACTAGAGATGCACAAGGTCCAGGCTTCTTTGGGCCTGGGCCCTGGCCTTCCAAGCCTATTTTCAGTAAGCAATAAAAAAGGCCCTGGCTGGGCCGGGCTTTGGTTGAAGGGTGTTTTAAGGTCGGGCCTAACCGGGCTTTTTCAGGCCGGGTCTAGGCCAGGGCCTGCTGCTAATATTTCAGAATGATCGGGCATTGAGATCTGGCCTGGACCGGGCTTGGGCTTTTTTTGCATCTCCACCTCTGACTACCAAACTAATAAACAAAATACCAAAGTTATTACAGGTGTTAATACAACTGTAGAGCCTTTGATCATACAACTTTCTTTCTCATGTACACATTTTTAGAGGTCTTTTATTATCTTCCAGGTGCTATGCGCTTCAAATGCAGATCATACAAATGTAGAGCCTTTGATCGTTCCAGAAGGGGCCAAAATTGGTGAATGTGTGACATTTTCTGGGTATGTATCATGATCACATATGAAGAAATCTGTCCGGACTAAATATTTCAAACACAATAAAAAGAGCTTTCGATGTTAATATTATTGTCAGACACTAATGCCAATGTCTCTCTATACAGGCATGAAGGGAAGCCAGAAGACGTTTTGAACCCAAAGAAGAAACAACTTGACAAGATCACACCGGTAATCATCTTTCGAAATTGCATCTTTCATTGCACATGTGAAGCTTAATGTCTTCAAAAAGATCGGTTTGTTGCACTTTGAGATCAAACTTTAGAATATTTAAAATTGATCGGGATTTCAACATTTGAGCAAGTAATGACAATTGCTTTAAACGTTATTATAAATCCTGCAAAAAGGTGATGATGCTAAACATGGAAAAATACATAAACCGAACCAAATCGAACCAGACCGATCAGGGGGATATGATGTATATATAGACCTGACCTCTACTCCAAAGGGTAGAACGGCTGTTTCCATGAAGAGTCCTGGCCTGTGAAGAAGAAGGGAAAAAATATATTTCAATTTTGATTTTGAGTTAATTAGTTTGGCCTCAAAAGTCAAAGCATACCTTACTGGTATTGGAATGGAAAATAACACTTTGATGTCTTGGTTTATGTATTGGTGCTTTTATGTCTATGCATATGCATGATAAAGAAAAACCTCTTTTCGTCATTCATTATAAAACTGTGCATGTATTAACATGAATTGTTGGTGGGTGCAGAATCTTTTCACGGATGATAAGGGAGTGGCTACATACAAGGGAGTCCCATTTATGACATCTGCTGGACCATGCACATCTACCATATCCAATGCCAGTGTCAAATGATGACATGAGGATGGGGATGAATGATGATGGCGGTTGTAGCGACACACATCTTCGTACAACAACGATTATCAAGTGACAATGACGATTAAGAGGATGATGATGACCGACTAGTGGTGTGTGTAATCAATACTTTCTTTTTGCTTATCAAGAACACAAAATATGCTTGAGCTATATGAAAATGGTTAAATGGTTTGTACAAACAATATGCATCATGAGGGGTCCAATTTTTTTTTTACCTCGGCTTACTTCCCTATGTCATATCATTCTGCAAAAAAGGGTATGATGTCATCCTTGACAGTGTCCTCACAATATGGGTCCCACTATCATCATGGAGGATGTAAATTGTGCGTCCTATGGGTAAAGTGATTGGTGCTTGGAGTTGAACTCCAGACCTCCTGAAACAATCCCTATCACATGAAATTAAAAGTTAGATTTATACATTCTTTATAAGCTTAAATACACGAGCGATCAATAACTTTCACAATGATTTAAAAGTTGGTATGAAGGCTAGAGGTGTAAGATCCTACATTGGTTGGGGAAGAGAAAAAGTTGCCTTATTAAGGACTATATATCTCCTCTATCATAGATGTTTTAAAACCGTGAATCCAATATGTGAACAATTTCAGATACAATTAGTTTGAGATGTTAAAAGTGGGTCTACCGATGTTTGTACTCTAAGAGTGTAAGTGGGTGGGTGTTGATTGTGCATGATGGGGTTGAACTTGGCAGAACACCTGAATGGAAGCATGGTCTTGGGATCTATTATAGTTTCATATTATGAGACAGCACCCATGTGGGAAGTGGATGATAATATGAATAATCCCCAGCTCCAGTGTAAGATCTAAGAGACACCCATCCCCATGTTCCATGAAACTCCACCATTCTGCCCCAATTATTTTATCTCATCCCCATCTAAAAGATTTTGTTCCCCAATCCGCCCAAGATTGCAAAAATATTTGCCAAAAGATTTGAAAGATTTTGCCATTTTAGATTTCAGGTTTGACTTGTATTATACGTTTTTATATATGTGTTGGTGTCTCGATATTGTCTCCAGTTTTAAAGAAAATAGCAATTATGTAATCTTGTTTTTATATTGTGGATTTAGAATTACTAGAAGGGTATTCGCGCAATGCAGCGAGATACATCTCGATTTTAACGTTTTATTTTATTCTGTCTCCGTCGATGTTATAATATGATTTTATGTGTTACTGAAAAAACGATAATGTATTTATTTTTTTGAATAAAATATAAATTTGCAGGTATTATAAAATTTTGAAAAAAAATATCAATTTTTATATCAAATTAAATATTTAAAAGTTCTTGTTTTTTTGTG